TGGGAGCTCAGCCTGGCTGGGCGGAGGCGCAGACTGCCAGCCCCGCTCTGTTCACTGCCCTCACCACCCCTTCCAGGTTCTACTCTGGACCCTGGAGCCTTTCCCTGAGGTGAAGATTTTACCACCACCACCACCACCACCCCCCACCCCACCCCCCGCCGCCCCTGCTATGGGTAAGGGTGACTGGGGGTGAAGGAATGCCCAACTCAACCCTGGTACCTGGGTGCCCAGCAGCCCGGCCCCTGTTACAGTGACCTCTGGGCCAGACCCGGGGTACAGCACCAGCAGCGCCATCTCTGAGGGGCTGATTTCTCCAGATGGAGGCTCCTGGAACCTCAGTGAGGGTGTTGGCTCCCAGGTCACTGCCGCCAGGATAATGGGGAAGGGGGACAGTTGAGCCACTGAGGCCCGAGACCCTGGCCCAAGCCTGTCCTTCAGGGAGGGAGAGCTCTACCCCAACTGGGAGCCTTGGGACACTCATGGGGGTTGACACCCCTCAACACAAGGGGCAGGACCTTGCCAGGACATGGGTGGGAGGACTGACAGGGTGGGTGGTGGGCTGCTGCCTGTCATTCCTGAACCCTTGAGGTCTCTTGGGTTTGGGGATCTCCTGGGTGGAGGTCCACGTGTCACGTGGGCACCCCTTCCCGGAAGTGTATCTGAGGACAGGCCACCTCTTACTCTGGGCTACCTGCTGTCAGAGGGGCACTCCTCCACTGCTGGCCCCAACCCCATGGTCCTTCCTGGAGTGGGGACCGTCCCCGGCAGTGCAGGAGGGTGGTCTGGGAGCCCAGCATTCACTGGCAAAGACAAGGACACACACCTCCCAGGCTGCAGACTCAGCCCAGCCCAGGGCCATAGGCTTCAACTTCCCCAGGTCAGAGAGGGGTCGGGGGTCTTCCTTGGGAAAATAATGGTCATCATGTAATGGGAATGATGGCTAGGGACCACAGCAGAGGAACCTGCCCAGCCTCAGCCACGGGCCCGACGTACCTTCCTCCAAGTGCAGGACCACCAGCCGCTGCCCCCGGGGCTCCCCCAGCCACACTCTAAGCCACTGCAAAAGGGGCAGGGCAGTGTGCTCATGGCTAGGGGTGCAGACGCCAAAGGTGGCCAGGTCACGAGGCCCCCAGTGGGCTCGATGCACGGCCTCCAGGAAGGCCTGCTCGTAGCCCCTCAGGGCTCCCATCACCTGTACGGGGGCACTGCTGCCGTTGCTGCCACCAACCAGCGTCACCAGGCACAGGGAGTCTCGCTGGCTGCTTGGAGGCAAGCCCTGGGGGGCTGGCCAGTCCCAGTCTTGGTGGAAGATGAGACCCCCAGTGCCTGCAGGCTCCCCAGGAAGGGCTTCTTCTCCAGGGGTCCCAGCCCCCATCAGGGTCCCCGTCACCCATAGCACCAGGACCAGCCGAGAGAGAGGTGCAGTCCTCATCCTGGGAACTGTCAGGGGCTTGGCCACTCTGCTTATATGGGCCAGCCAGGGTGTTTGTGCTGGAGGACGGCCCTATCGCCTCCCAGGAGGTGACCTTGGGGGCCAGTGCCTGAGCTCCCCTACAAGCCTGGGCCAGCTCAAAGCCCCTTCTGTTCTGGCCCCGCTGCCTATCTCCTTCCCACCAGTGATAGAAAGTGTGGCCTGTGACCGATTTGTCCAACTGTCCTTGAGTTTTCTCTCTGGAGACAGCAGTGGGAATGTGAGCAGGGAGTGACCGACCCAGATGGACCAAACATCAACAGCTGCGGGGCTGGGCCTGGAGGGCAGAGCCTCCTCCTCGAAGACCCAAGACACCAGTTCTCGGTGTTCAGACCACCAGGTGGGTGGTCTCCAGATCAGCTGGCGCTCTCAGAGTCTCCTATCCACTCCTCTTGCCCTTGGGAATCAGGGTGCAAAAGGAACTTGGGCACCTTGGCCTGGAGACCCCAAGGACAGAACATCCTCTGCTTTGCTCTCCTCCCACAGGCTGGACCCCAGATGCACTGCTGGCTGGCTGGCTATGTCCGCCTTCCATCCTGGAGTTTCTAGGACACAGATGACTTGTTGGAACACCCAGCAGTGTCCTGATGGGCCAGTGTCTTAGAAGCCTGACCCTGAACCACTCCCACTCCCCTGCCCACCCACAGACACAGCAGTGCACCCAGGTGTCTGAGAAGGCTGTTTAATGAGATCTAGGGACACGGCATAGCCCTGTACAAAAACACCAAATTCCATCAGGGAGAAAAGACAGGAAAACGGGAAAGTAGACTCGCAGTGAGAGGGGGTGGCTTTTCAGTTGGCTGGGGGAGGGGGTGGAATGTTTCCAGGGCCCTCGGAGGGCAGCGGGGGTCTCATCATTGGGGGCATGGGAGCTGGGGGGTGGACCCCGGGATTGGAGGGATGAACTCCAGGAGGCTGGGGGTGAACCCCAGGAGCTGGAGGATGAACCCCTGGAGGAGGGGGGTGTACCCCAGGTGGCTGGGGGTGCATCCCCGGGGCTGGGGGGTGTACCCCTGGGGCCTGGGGGTGGACTGAAGAAGCTTGTGGGTGTACGCCTGGGGCCTGGGGGTGGACTCCAGCAGATGGGGGAGGGTGGACACCTGGGGCTGGAGGATGGACTCCTGGGGCTGGAGGGTGAACCCCGGGAGCAGGAGGATGAACCCCAGATGTTGGTGGGTGGACCACCGGTGCTGGGGGATGGACCCCAGGAGCTGGAGGGTGGACCCCAGATGTTGGTGGGTGGACCACTGGTGCTGGAGGGTGGACTCCAGGAGCTGGGGGGGGCAGTTGGGGAGGACCTGGGGGCCCTGCAGGTGTAGGCCCACTGGGTGGCATGGGGGGCAGAGGAAGGCCTCCTGGTGGGGGTGGAGGCAAAGACTCAGGCAGTGGTGGCCGTGGGGGCAAACCATTCATCAGTGGGGGTGGTGGCCGCTTCACCCCAGGAGGCCCAGCAGGGAGGCTTGGCGGGGCTGGAGGCTTTTCCATCTTAAAGTGGAACTGAAGAAAGAACTGGAAAAAAAAAACACACACAGAAAAGCTGAGTGGAGCCCCTGGGGGTCTTGGGAGGGTAGACAGGATGGCCAGGGCAGCCACCAGAAGTTCCTTGAATTGCTCGGACCTAGAGTGACTTACCTGCTTGGTTTCCCGGTTCCAGTGAGTCCAAAACTTGCCCTCGGCCTTGTCAATCTCTCTGCTTGGCACCTGCGAGGGGGAGGGGTGGAAAATGGCCTCAGGGAGCCCACGGCCCAGGTTTAGGCAGGGACTACTCCCCGGTGTTAGAGCAGGCCCAGCCGGGAGAGGCCCTCATGAATGAATAGGGCTTGGTTGTGGGGTACCAGACACAGCTTACATTCTAGCTCTGTGGCCTAGTGACCCCCATCACCCCAGTTAAATAATAGTTTCAATATGTGTTCACCAGTGTCTGTTAGGGCACAGGACACGGTCAAGGAATGCCTGACCAGCCCAGCACAGAGGCATGCACTGCTCTTGGTGGGGGTGCCACCTTAGGGTGCCCTTTCCCACCCAGAAGCCAGCCCGTTGGGAAGGGCACCTCTGGAGTGGGCAGCACAAGCTACCTTGAAGGCGATGGTCTCGTAGGGCTCAGCAGCCATCAGCAGGTACTGCCAGCGCCTGTCCGGGGGCTCGATCCTCTGCTCGTAGGCAGACATGAAGCGGTGGCGTGGCATGATCCCGTCAGCGATCTCCGGATAGTCGATCTGCGGGGAGACAGCCAAGTGGCAGCACTGCCCTCCAGGAGACCCTCCCCTCATGACTGGGCCCCGGGCCTCGTCTCACCTGGAAGAGGAGGCTCTGCTGGCCCATCTCTGTGTCCCTCTGCTTGGTCACTGCAAACACAAGAGTCTCAGGTCCAGGTCAGCTCGTCACCCTCCCAAAGCTCAGGACCCCGGAGGGCAGGACACCAGGGGAGGTCACCTGGCTGCAGGGCACCACCCAGGCCTGGGAGAGCTCTGTGCTATAGGTGCCACCTGCCCGAGACCATGCAGGTGGTGGTGGGAGAATGGCTCCGAGTTACCCCAACCCCCCGAGGCCTGGGACAGCACTGAGCAGGAACTGAAGACAGGAGGCACTCGGTGTGTGGGGCAACCCTGCCCCCAGGAGAGGGTGCCCTTCATATTAGAGTCCTGTGGCTTTTAGGCTGTTCTCTGCACAGCTCCCAGGCACGTAAAATTTTCCCATAACCCCCCGATTCTCCCCACTACACTCATGACAGAAACTGACCGTCTATCACAGCCAAAAGGCTTTTGGTGGCCCCACGTGGACCCTGCCATTGTAGCCCTGGCTCATCAGCAGGCCTGCCCCAAGGCCTCTGCACACTGTGTCCTGTCTACAGTGGCAGACACACACAGGACACCCCCACATTTTGTTAGAACATAGTCCCCTATGTTCCAACAGGGCCATATAACCAGCTTTCTGAACTAAGTAACCCAGAGCCCTGTTCCCTGCTAATGGCCTTGCTGAGTAAGCTGCCACTAACACAGACCATTACCCTCCCATTCCACTTACTCTTCAGGTTAAGAGGAGCCAGCTAGTTCTACGCTCACTGCCCCTCCCTCACGTCACTCATCTTCACTAGGAGTGCAAATAATTGTGAGCTCTCACAACTCCCTGACAGGCGCACAGGCGAGTGACATCCACAAGGTCATGTTTGGGAAAGTGCATATGGAGATGGGGCCCCAGTGGGGTGGGTGGTCTCTGAAATCAATGAAAGGTATGAGCAAATGAAGGCCAGTGAATAGCAGTGTGTGTATGGCTCAGGGGTGGGAGCAGGGTTCTGGACAAAAGGCTCACTCCTTCCCACGCCAGCTGTGGGCCAACCTACGCCCAAACAGACTTACCTTTATAGCCCGGGCGGCCGATCTTCACAAACTTCTTCACTTCCACCTTGACCTTCTCTGGTGCTGGCTGGGCGGGGGCCTCCTTCGCCTCCTTGGCGGCTCGCCGGGCCCTGCAGGCATGATGGACACCGTGCTGCTGCTCCTTCACACACACACACACACACACACACACGCCGCCAAGGCCACAGGCCCAGGTGCTAGGAGCCATCCTGCCCCCACATCGACCTTGGAGAGCCTCTGCTAAGTGAGGGCGTTGGGAGGGGTGGGATTGAATGGGTGGATGGGTAGGGGTTGTCTCCAGGTCTGAATGGAAATGGATGGGACAGGCATGGGCACCTTTCTCTTCTTGTCACATTTCCCACTGTTCCTCACTAGGGAGCCTTCGGAGAACCCACACCTCTTTCCTTGCTAGGTAAGGAGCATACCCTGTTCCTCCCCTCACACTCGGGTAGCTGTACCCACCCACCCAGCCACCCATGATGGACAGGGCTCAATGTACTGATCACAGGATGAGCTGGCCCCAGACTACCTCTGTACCATTGTCTGGTGCGGCTCACAAAGATGTCAGAGAAGTGCCAGCTCCTAACCCCGGGGCCCAAGGCTTTGAGTAGGGAGTAGGGGTGACATACTCACAAGTTGGTCTGGTGCTTTTTCCCCTGGGTGTGCGCGAGGTAGCTCCCCTAGAGTGGGACAAAGTGAGCAGGGATGGGGCCTGGATGCCCCTCAACCAGGCCTGCTCTCCCTTCTGCCTCCTGGGAGCAGGGCCCCCATATCCACAGTGCAGAAGGGAGACACCCTGACACACAGGCTGTTCAACAGCACACTGTCCACAGTTGTGAACAAATTCCAAAACAAAGTGAATGTTCAACAACACAGGGAAAGGACAAACAGGACCGGTTCACTGCTGCATGCTGAGCCCAATGTGAGAACTTGTCAGACTATCGTATCGATGACCTCACAGTCGTTAAAGGAAATGAACTGGAGCTACACCGCTAGACCTCAAAACCCAATGTCAAATGTTCCAAGATGTGCTCATAGATGCACATCTGTATAACAACGGCACCAATGGTATTAAAGGACAATGGACAAGCAGCAAATTCACAGCACTGGTGGCCTCTGGGGGCCAGGAGTGCGGGGCACAGGCTGGGGACAGAGAGGGCTTGGTTTTCATCTGGAGTGACCAGTGTATCTCCTAGAGCGACGCGTCTGAAGCTGTGCTCAGTGAGTGAGTGGTCAGGCGTGAGTGGCGGGCCTCAATCACCTCCTTTGCCCTTGGCCGAGTTATGAACAACAGGTTAACAAGGCAGAAGCCCGGAGTGGGTGGGATCAGCGCGTCCTGCCAGCTTCTCCGCGGGACAGGGGAAGGGACGTGTGGGGCACGGGCCCTGAGAACTCACCTCATTGTTGTGGAGTGTCAGGCACAGCTTGCATTCATACGAGCCCAGGTGGTTCTTCATGAAATAAGGGTCCTGGGAGGGAGGCACAGTCCATTAGATCGAGGGAGATGGTACCCTGAGCGCTGCCTGCCGGGAGCAGTGCCTGAGAAGTAGGGCTCCCCTGGCTGGCAAGGGAGGGGTGGCTGTTGTCCTCTGGGACAGATGTTCT